TTAAAGTAGAAGTAACGTTCCCCTGCAAAAAAATGCTGATTGGTAGGCTTTATGTGGCAGAAGAAACTGTGTAAGTCTCTTTTGCTATAAAAGCTTCTTCTTACCTGTCAGTATTTTTTTTGTCTCTGTATGCTGAGCCCCAAATGCGCAGCTCAGTGCACAAACCCTTTATGTCGAGATGAAGCACGGGAGTTACATCATGAAGGTGGCAAATCAAGAGAGATACTAAATCCATAAGAAGACCCTGGGGAAGATGGAAGCACTGGTGAGGGAGGAGGTCAGTGCTGGAGGGGATCACTTTGGCAGGTAAGTTTGCCATAATCTGCCAATATGCTGTGCATACTAGCACATCATGATTAAAAGCTCAAGGGGTCTTTTTTTAATGTTAAACTTGCCTTTCTTCCACTTTAATATGTGGTTGCTGTAGTTTACTATACTTTGCACGTTTTAACTACCCTATGCACGTTTATATACTGTAAGCCACAATGTGAAAACAAAATAGGTATCTAGGAATTGCTGGTATTATTAATATAAACCCATCATTGACCACATGAGTCATGTATGGAGATATTTTTGTGGATAATGCATTTGTCCAAGTAGAGTTTTCCTTTGAGAACATTTTTGTTGGCTTTTCCTTGGGTTAAGATCTGCTGAGCCAATGTTGTTTTTTTAATAAAAATATTAGAGTTGGTTTGCTCTACCTTCCCAAAGATGGCTAATCTGCCAAGCCCTCCAATTTCCCCAACATCTTCCTGGGGCACCTCAGAGTAAAAGAGTCCTTTGTTTTTCATTACCAGGTGTGTTGAGTCAGATCCATGCTGTTATTTTAGACCCATTCCTTGTGAAACTTTGGTCTGGTGCTGACAGATATATAGTCTAATACTATGTTGCCGTCTTCATGGCCCCGTTTTCATATGGATATAGAATGTATGGCTGAAGATGGGAAATTCCACTTTTTATTAATTATAAGCAATAATAAAATAAGGCATATCTGGTCTGGTGGTTTGTTTAAAACTTACAGATATCTATTATCTGTTATACTAGTTAGATATCTGTCTCCATGGATCGATTCGCTGATCAAAGCACATGCAGAGAAATAACCATTTATAATGCATATTTTTTACTGTTTGTGATATACCTAGCGTTCACCTTTTAATTAGCATTCATGTATTACACTTACTCCTGCACCACTTTGCAGATCACCACACAGAACCAGAGCTTTTTTTGTGTGTGTATTTAAAGTATGCAGATAAAGTTCCAAAGCACACTGCTTTCTTTTGTTGGCCATGTTTATGAGATATTGGAATTAAGAAGGTATAATCATGGTATTATGGGTTAGCCTGTCTTACTTCACTCAAAACTGGCATTTTGGATTGAGTAAGCATTCAAGGCATAATACTGAGGTTAATGCATGAGCTTTTTCCTTGAAATGTCTCATCATTCAGTATTTAGATGTTATTACCTATTGGAAACATTAGCTCAGCTGAATTTGTATAATCCTGCTAAACTGCAAAGTACATAGTTCACAGTTGTGTCAAGATTAAACCATTAAAAGTCTCTAACAAATTTGAGGAATTTCAGATTATCCCGATAGCTAAGGAAATAAAGATAGATTTGTGTTGCAGCCCAGTGTGGGATTTAAGTAAACCTTTTAACGGAAATTGCATTTTTGTGGCTGTAATAAGGATTTCATCTGACTACAAATACAATGTTTGGCAGGTTCTACCTATGACATATGCCAAACAATACCCTCAGTGCTGCACTGATTTAGGTAACATGGTATCAAAAGCAGGTTTTATGTTAAGATATTCCTTTAAACACAAATAACTGAACAAGAAATCCTGTATTTGCTGAAAAATGATTTCCCAGCAGTGGACCATGTAAATGGTATAGTGAAATGCATTTGAAGAAGTATGTACTGATGTGCTTTGCCACAGATGTTGTGCATGCTGAAAAGTAATACTTAACTAATACAAATGTCTTATTGTACCAGTATAAAAATCTTTAAAGGTGCCCATACACCTTACAATTATCTGCAGATTTTCTGTGGTCAGATGGAAAAAGTGCAACAGATTGGCCTAGGTGGAGATTACTCCATCCACACAGTTAAGTGTAGATGGAGGAATCTGTTGCGCCTTTTCCATCTGACCACAGAAAATCTGCAGATAATTGTAAGGTGTATGGGCACCTTAAGATGGAAAGCAAGATGGATGATTTCATCTGGATAGATACAAATCTGAAATACAAAACACAGAGAGCGCCTCCATCGTGTAAAACTATTTAATAAAAGAGAATGAAAACAGTTGAAAATGTACTCACAAAGGGTGATAAATAACAAGCATTCATGCGTTTCCGAGGTCACGCCTCCTTCATCAGAATTGGTTCTGATGAAGGAGGCATGACCTCAGAAACGTGTGAACCAAGAAGGACAGATAGCCGGCTGGCTAAGTCTGCTCTACCTGATCTATTTATGCTTGTTATTTATCTCCCTTTGTGAGTACATTTTCAACTGTTTTCATTCTCTTTTTTTAAATAGTTTTACACAATGGAGGCGCTCTTTGTGTTTTGTATTTCAGTTCTGTGGTTCCCGTAACCTTCGAGAGCAGCCCTGAAAGTGTATTACATTGAAGATCTCCCTCTCATCTTTGACTCATGTTGCTGGCGCTTATGTGTTTATTTGTTTGTAGATACAAACCTCTTTTACTGCCATGACATGAAGAGCCATTGGTAGCAGATATTCCGACAGTAGTACAGTAAAGCATGACAAATATAGAGCTCATTCCTAGAAAATTGTAAATTGCATAAATGTGTGCTGTATAAAGCATATGCTGTAAACACACACCTTAGTTGTTTTCTCTGAGATTGCACTACCTATATCGAACTTGCTTTATTACAGTATACCGATATATCTCTAGCATGTTACCAAAATATAATTCAGAGCCATGGTAACTACAATACGGTATATTAATCAGTTTGAGAAGTAAATGATTTATTATATAATAAATTAGCAGATCAGCTGCATTAAACATGTTGCGGGCAATTAAGTAAAGCATTATGGCCGTATTAGTCAGTCCTGCGTTGAAATTGATTATAGGCTTGGGACAGTTTTTTTTGTGCTTTCTTTTGCCATTTGCAATGCATGCACCCAATTTAGGTAGCAACACGTTCACATTCGGGTACTAGGGCTGCTACAGTTTTAATAATAAATACCTTAATTTCTAATGAGCGTTTGCAACACCTTAATGCCAAAGGCCTGCAAAGTTTTCAAACCTGGAATTTGCTATTCATATTTTTTACTAAACTGTCAGAACGAAAAGCAACACTACAAAAGTCCATAATCTTTTCCTTTGTTGTTGTCAGCACGGTATGTCTTTAAGTAGCAAAGTGCAATTTACAAAATGCCTTAATTTTCCCTTGTTATCCTTATTTCCTAAAAGCTAATGATTTCTTTTATCATTTTAAACTGCTAATATTGTAATCCACTTGTTTTGTTTAATTGCATGACACAGCACCCTTTCCAACAGATGTAGAAATTTGACTGGGTTAGATTGGGGTAGTTTTAAGCTATAGGAAGTCAGAAAACAACCATTACATTTATGGCACATTCACACCTATCCACGCGCATTTCAGCACACATGATAACACACATACGTTGGTGTAAATGGGCCTGTATAGTTTATAAAAACACTCTTAACTTCAGAGCATAGATTGGAACCAGCTACATAGGAAATAAATTACGTTGTTTTTTTGCTGCATGAGAACTGACAATTGTGAATAAGCTCTTAATCTTATATATGGAACAGACCATAATATTTTGTTTCTATTTCACTGGAAGTTTGTCTGTATTACCAAGATGCAACCTTTTTTTTCTGAGCTGACAAAGGTATATAGTTAAACACTCACACTGCATATGCAGTTGTGCATATTTTTTGTTTCCCACCTATGAAACACAAGTTTCATAGGTAATTAAGTATCAAATATAAATCCCTCTCTCGTGATCTGAGAATTTGCAAGTGGATTGGAGGAAATGTTGGTGGGTACTTACGAGACCCCCTTGGTTACTATATTCATTTGTTCTGAATATTTACAAAAGGGTGAAGGGTTTGGAGAAGAGGAGAAGTTAAAAGTATAGGATAACATAGCTGAATTGGAGAATTTTTCCAAATCAGCTATTTTGGCCTAGATAGTTCACTTCTCCTGCCTTCTCCAAACTCTTCACCCTTTTGTGAATAACCTTGATAGTGTCAATGTCTTGTGCATTACTGTAGCTTCTCAGCTTATACATATTAAGTATTTAAGCAATCTAGGTCTGCGTGCCAAACCTGCACTATTTTTCGGTTCTATTTTGATGTTTGTTGTAAACTCAATAAATAATGTATTGAATCGAAAAAAAATCTAATAATTGAGGTAAGAGTCAGCCAATCAAAATGTTTATTTTAGTTACCCTCATTTCAGCCCGATTGCTTGTTCTGCAGTGAAGTGCTATACCCCAGACTACATAATATATTGCTCCACCACTGATACTGATTTAAGACCGTAAGCCTAAAAAATTACAAAAACAAAAAGTTACAATATCATCTCTGCATATCTGTTAAGGAGGAATTAATCCTTTTTTGGGGAGAGAGAACAGAAATATAACAGGGTTTCTCATTATGTTTTGCAACTGTTCTTTCAGTACATTTTTGATGCATTCAATGATTCAATATTTCCTGATGGATTCTGCACTGTTATTACTTCTCTCAGTTGACTTGTAATCCCCACCTTGCATGTTGAAATGACTCTATGGAGATTCACATCATGGCTGCCTCCAAATTTATAGTTGACCATTTGTCTTTCTTAATGTATTTATGCCAGAAACAAAGTTTTGTTTGGGTTGGATGCTTGCTGCTAATTTTGCAGCTGGCAACTGTAGCACATTCATAAATCATCGACATGGTCCTTTCTTTTGTTCTATATAAAATATGACACAATGGTAATTACATTGTTTCTCTTTTTTTCAGCTTTCAGACCAAGAAATAATGGGATATTATGAGACGTATGAGGCCAGAAGAAATGAGCTGGAAGCTTTTAATAGGGTAACATACCAGTATTTTGCATCAGGATATCATTCAAAGTGTTGGATGTTAGCATACCAATAATTGAAACACATTTACATATGTTATGTTCTTCCAACAGTCCATTTTAAATTATAGCATCCTTTTGTTACACAGAATATTGCAGGATTTAATTTAACATTCTCTGAATATATCTCTTTAAAGGAAAGCATACTTTATAAAGTTTAGCCTTCCAGATGTAATTCTAGATCACTTTACATGCTTTAACTGAACAGCTATAATACTCTAACTGAAAACAGCTATATTTGCTGTACAGTTCTGTTATCTTTTAACGTGTTTCCCATTGGGGGTATGAACTCTTGTATGTGTATTGGGTCAGATGCATAGGACAAGTGCCCCCCTCCCCTTGTTTCTAATCAGATTCACGATAGGTCAAACTTACACACAACCCTGATTCTCTGAGATCATTACTGTGTGACTTGTCTGGCACCGCATAGCCTCTGCTCAAAATATTCAGAGTTTTTTCTACACATGTGCCACTACTCACGAAAGCCCCTATGCTAGGCCACAGATGAGCTTTCCATTGAAGTGAAGATCTCAAAACACAGGGGTTGTTGTGGGTAAATATAGCCAATTATGAATGTGTTAGCGAAGGCGACATTGCATTTGATGTAGATCAATGCACAAACCTGTGAAAGTGCACCAACATATTGGGGCAAGTTTATCTGTAATAGGTGAATTTAATTCACATTCAAATTTGTAGAGAAAGTTCACCGAGTCTAGGAAAAAATGGTACAGGAGTTATGCAGATCACTAAGAGATGGATAAAGCAGTGTGCTGTTCAGTGGAAACACAGTGTTACATATGTTCCGAACGGGTTTGTGAATTGCACAGTGAAGCAGAAACATCCGTTCGAAATTGAGGGATGTCACTAAAACTGATTTGGTAATTTATTCTGTCCTAATATCAGTGAAGCATGTAGGAAAGTAAAGTTACAAATCAGGTAAAAACTCAGATGAAATTTCCAAAAATCTTATACAATCTTTCTACCTACAACTAAGGAAGGGTGGAGAGTGCCCAACCCTCATCTGTAAAGGTAAAAGACCACAATGGCTTACTGATAGTTAGTTTGTAAATGGCAATAAAGGTACTGGATTTGTTTTGTATGTTTGTTTTCCTAAAATGTTCTGCCAAAGAACTGCTTTTAATCTTTCCGCCAGCTTGAGACTGTTATCAGAAAACCTTTGAAGAGCAAAGCAGCACATTGAATTGTTTTCATAAAATATAACGAGAACGTGTAAGCCTAAAATGTATCATGTATGTTCTCTGAAATGGTGTCTTCATTGAGTTTTCTCTTAGATTCATCAGTTTTTAATGTATTTTTATGCATGAGTTCTGGATTACAGTCTAATTAAATGTTGCTGTCAATAGTCTATTACCTGTAAAAAAAATAGACCAATAACAAATATGAACATTATACCAGTATGAAAAATTGGAAAACCTTGGTAAACACTTAAAGCAGAACTCCAGGATTTTGAAAAGTTAACCCTTGCAGGAGGGCTACCCCTGCACTGCAAGGGTTAACTGTTTGTTTTGTCTAGGGAGTGAAAATGAAGAAGAAATACTCATCTGATCATTGGTCCCGCCTGGCTGCTAGACCCCAGTCACCTCCGCCTCTTCTCCCCAGGCTCCTGCAGTTGAAGATCTGTGACGTCATCACGTCTAATGCAGCTTATTTGACGCGAAGATGCTGAGGGATATACCACAGCTGGAGTGGAGAGGTGAGCAGTCCATACCACGGGACTGAGGATGGATTGAGTATTTGTACTTTATTTTCTCCCTTAGAGAAAAACGAGCAGGTAACCCTTGCAGTGTGAGGGTACCCACACTGCAAGGGTTAGCTTTTCAAAATCCTTGAGTTCTTCTTTGACTTTCATAATTATATGTACCTTTCTCTACTTATGTCAACTATGGCATGGCTCTATATCTTTACACATCTACTGCCCTATAAAGTAGACAACCAGCATAATCCCTTGAAATGCTTCAAACTATAATTGCTTTGTGTTCTTAATCAAGTTGTATTTAGTGTCCACGTTGCAAGGGGAGGGACATGGGTGTTTGAAGAAAGTCTCTAACACTTTGCAGTACAAAGGAAAAAAATTCTTGGGACCCATTGTAATCGCTGCGCGCTCCCGCCCGAGAATCCGAAACTGCTCTGGTGGCCGCAAAGCATCTCGGATTCTCGGCCGGGAGACGAGCAGAGACGCAAGGTAAGTCTATGGACGTATGCACCCGCATGCAGATACCGCGGGATCGGAAGTGCCTGCAGGGACAGAGGAGCCAGCGCTGGATTGGAGAGCCGCCGCACCGCTGGAGGGACAGATGAAAACATTGGGAAAGAAGAAGAAGATCGGATTAATAGACATAATCTAAGGTAAGTGCTGACATTAACATGGGGGGAGGGAAACATTTTTTGACTTTAATGTCACTTTAACTATTAACAAAAATGTAGCTTATTTGTGTATTACTCAGCTGTACATCCTCAAATCATCTCTGAATTGGTGCTGACGCTGTCCTTCCTTCTGGAGGGTGGCTACTTTTGTTCCCCATGGTCCCTGTGTGTGTTATAAAGTAGCAACCACTCCAAGCTCACTCCCGTGATGGACTACAATCTCAATACAAATTAGTAAACTAAACATGAGATTGTAGTCCATTACAGGAGCGAGCTTGGAGTGGTGGCTACTTTACAACACACAAAGGGAGCATGGGGAACACAAGTAGCCACCCTGCAGAAGGACAGACAGTGCTAGCACAAATTCAGAGATGATTTGAGGATCTGCAGCTGAGTAATACGCAAATAAGGTACAGTTTTGTTGCACTGCAAGGGTTAGGTGCTAAAAAAAAAAAAGTTTACTCCCCAGACCATCTGAGCTGGTTCCGTGCTTTCTGCATAGATGGAATGCTCCTCAGCGTCCTCACATCTATAAACAGCCTATGCACAGTGTATAGAGCATGAAGACACCAGGATCCTCAAACCGCTGCAACAGAGGAGGCGAGACGCTCCAGACAGCGGTCCAAGAACTAGCCGGCTTGGATGGTCTGGTGAGTATAACTTTTTTTCTTTTTTTTGAGCATCTAGACGTAAACGAGCAGTTAGTCCTTGCAGTGCAGGGGTAGCCCCACTGCAAGGGTTAATAAAAACTTTTCCTAAAGCTCTTCTTTAAGGTACTTAAATGCTCCTGAGTTTAGTGTCACTTTATAGTGTCACTTTATAGTGTCAATATATATACCTGTATATATTGCCACCAGTGCTGTTGTTTAAAGGTACATGCTCCTTGGCTTTCATCCTGATATCCACTTTCACAGCCAAATTGGAATAATATCTCTTTCATACTTGTTACATCTTCCCATTCACATAGCATAAGCGGAAAAAAAAAATGCTTGCAGTTTAAATTGTTTTTACTTTCGTTAGGGATTTAAGGGTTAAAATTTCTTCTAGCTTCTATTTCTTTGAAATGTTAAAGCTGGGCACACACCTTACAACCAACGCAAGTTTTTTGTCTTGCGATGGTTGTAAGGTAATTAAAAAAACGTACGATCTGCCCATCTTGGACAGGCAGATCGTACTTGCGATGATCGCAAGCCCGCCCCGCTGAGGGGTGGGCTTCCGATGACCGCAATGCCGAACGGGCAGTATGCGCTTGCGCACACCGGCCCGTCTGGCTTTTATCTTACGAACATGCAACACACCCCGCCGAAAATTGTACGATTCTCGCCGGGTTTTCGAACATGTTCGTAAGATAAAAGTCGTGCGACCTTACAGTAGTAGAGGTCGCACGGCCTCCACACACCTTAAGATAATCGTACGGTCGCGGGAATTCCTGCGATTATCGTACGGTTATCGCAAGGTGTGTGGGCACCTTAAGAGGCGCTGTGAGGGGGGTCTCAGCTGGCTTGCCCATTGTATGGTAATTAAGCTTATCGGATAAACACAGTCCTCAAATTTCAGCGCCAAGGCTTTCCATTAGGACAGACCACTGTGAAAAGGACTAAGAATAACCTGGAATCAGCCATCATGCCTAATGTAACAAAACACTTAAAAGGTAAGAAATGTTTTTTCAGTATGCTTTGTGAATAGGAACACATAAACATATAGAATGGTTTTCTTAAATTTAACTGCAAAAGTGGAAATACACTTTAAAGACTAAAAGGTCTGAACTCCTGTCCAGTATGTTTATGAAAGGATGAGAATGACTGCCTTGGAGCCTGAACTATTTTAAACCGAGTCAGCAATGGTAGCTCCTACATATCGCACATATAGCTCTAGTGCTGTAAACATTATATCACTGTACAAAGAAATAAATCCAAAATCTCAGTTATTATCCATTAAGGTAATGGGTGTATATCTGAGCATGTTTTACATTTAAAGCATGTTTCGGATGAAACCATTTGAGTAGCACCCTTGTCTTGTGAATTCATTAGTCTTACCCAGTAAGTCATATTTTTTTATGTGATCATTTGAGTTTGAGCATTTAGTGCATTTAAAGTTTGAGAAGAAGCCAGAATCCCTTTTCTCCAAGTCACAGATGGGAGTATAAGATACAGATGCAATCTCCAGTACTGTATAGAACATAACACGATACAAAAGGCTTTGGCATTGCATGTTATTTTCAGGATTATAAGTACTTTTTTATGTATATTTCCCTAATGTGTTTCTAAAGTTAGACTTAAATACAAGATGGATCTTCTCTTACTTGGACATAACCCTCTCTACTTCTGGGCTTCATCCTGACATGCATAGGATCATTAGTCTTTGTCACAATTCTTTTTGTTTTAGATATACTTTAATGTTTGTTGCAATAGGTTGAGTGGTAGGTTTTGGCTGCAGATGTTGGGCTTTTGTGCATATTGGTGGAGTTATTATGCGATTACCAGCATTATTGTATTGTTCTCAAGAAAATATTCTTTTGTAATTATATTAGAATTAGAGTTTAAATGTAAACCTTCTGAAAATGCTAGTC